CGTCAGCGTTAGTCAGCTGTCGCCGGCAGCAGAACCGGGCGTCGGCGCCGTTTGGCGGGGTTGTACCTCATTAACACGGCCGTTCGGGCGCGGCGGCTGAAGCGTTTGGCGACGTCACGAAATGCTTGTGGGGCTTGATCGCTGACATGTCGAGCCGGCACGGCTTGCCGGTCTAGGCAATTTCAGCAGTTGGTGATAAGACAGTGATCGTTCGATTTGCCATCAGCGCACAGCCGCCGGCGCGACCCAGGCGCTTAATGGCCATAATGCAGCGTCCATATTGCGTTAAAGGAGGACGTCCATCAGCTTGCCCGAGAAGTTGACGAGAAGCCTAAGTGGTTTGAAAACCCCATCGCCGGTGTCCGAGCTGTAAAAGATCAGCAGTCTTTCGTTGGAGTTCGGCAGAGAGAAGTACGTCATTAGAGGCGAACGAAAGCCCGAAATGGTAGGGTCAACTCCATTTAAACAACTATTTGCGTGCATCATCGCGAAATTATCCTAAACATAAAAACTGACCCGATCGCGACTCCACCGACTCTCCAGCCACCCCGTTCCGACTGTCCTTGATCTCTTTTCCCCATGTTTCATGACTACTCTGCATATGCCATGCATATCTCGCGTGACGTGATACAGGTTCGAAGCTTCTCTATATATTTTAAACACTGCACGGTTTGCTTTACAACGGCAGGGGCAGGGACCCTCACATACACATGTATATATATATATATATATATATATATATATATATATATATATATATATATGCGTGAGTGAGTGAGTGTGCGTGTGTTGTGTGTGCGTGTGTGTGCGTGTGTTTGTGTGAGTGTGTGATTGTGTATGTGTGTATGCGTGTGTATTTGTGTGTGTGTGTGTGTGTGTGTGTGTGTGTGTGTGTGTGTGTGTGTGTGTGTGTGTGTGTGTGTGTGTGTGTGTGTGTGTGTGTGTGTGTGTCGTTATATTGCTCAAGCATGAAACGAAAATATTTTGTTTAAAAAAGCAGGAGGAACAGCATCGGTGTACTAGTTTGGTGACCACACGATAATGGTGCGCCGGTCTAAGGTGTTAAAATCCGCCCAATTTTGGACTCATATTGCGTTGATGTAGGTAACCTTCTCGTTTATTGGGCAATACAATTTAGGAATATCTTTCCGACAGAGTTGATAGCATTTAAAGTGATTGATTAGAATGATGGAAACTAGGAAACATGCCCGATTAATTTCAGTTAATCATGCGTTATCGATTCAGCGTGGCTTTCTGTTTATTTACAGGCACCACGATAGTTTGTGTCCCTAACCGTGTCGGCCAAAATGTCCACCTAATTCTTAAAGAACTGTAGTTTTTATGCGCAGCAAGTTCTCCTTTGAAGGCGTACAAAAGCCTTTTACACTAGATCCTGTATTATGATTACATTCTGAGCTCACACGACTCCCATTTGTGGCCATGTAGGACCCCTTATGGTATGCTGACCCAGGCCGGCACGCGGTCATATCAGTCGAAGTACAGCAAACAATCCAAAACGAGACAGGAAGCTGCGATTTGCTGCGTGCAGAAAAACAAAAGTCGCGCTTATCTTCCCTTATGATGGCATCATTCCTCATGACGCTATGGCGCCAGAGCTTATGATGCCAAGATTAAATCAGCATCGGTTTTTTCGCCAGAATGTGACACGCTTGATAACCTGATAAGCATTAAAAATTCAATAGACCAGGCTGGAATTGTACGTACTGTCTTTCAGAATCTCGGGGGATGCCGCTTGTAACTCCCCAGCCAATTGCAGGTTAAAGAGGGTGTTGATATAACAATTAAAAGAATTAAGATACATTTTGGATTTTAAAAAAATATGTTGGAATGTCATAGATGCCCTGAACATTTTCACAGGATGAATATGCAACGTTTTACATGCTACCTGACCTAGACGCTGAAGTAAAAGAAGCATGTAGATCGCCTTTACCCCTGTAGTTACTTTTTTAGTACTTATGTACCTAAGTACTTTGTATATACTTATGTATGTACTTATGTACTTAGTCAATGCAGCGATACCAGAAGAAAAACTCTTTGTGGTCTTTCTTCTTCGCTCTCCACTTCGTCGCTTTTTAGCGTCGTCGCTTTTTAGCATAACTTAAATGAATACGAAGTGAAGTAAATAGTCTACGCTCATATCAGAAAATGATCGGAAAAACAAGTATATCTCTCATGCCCAGATCCAGTGCTCATGTTAGATTTAATGACGGATTCGTGTGGAGGGTGTCCAGCCGGTCCATGGAGTTAGCTGAGCCAGACCATGCGCACGACAGCTAAGACGTCAGCGAGAGCAGCGGGATGAAGGATTCAAACGACACAAAACGGATGCTAGGCAATCGAATGTTTGTTTTATTCCATTCACATGCGACGGAGGCTGACGCACGAAACCGTAATACATCGCCCTGTTACGAATGTGATAAACCTAGTGGTGGGTGAAACTGTGCGTCACCAGACGCCATCGGCCCCAATTGGAAGTGAGAAAATTAGCTGCGTTGTAGTACTACCACACGACAGCGTACACCAGACATCAGACTTGAACAAGCACGCTTTTTCCAATCAAGGTATATTAGCGTCATGGCCCTTATCATGCCTTCGCAGCCATTGGGTGCAAGCTTGTGAGCTGGTCAGGCCGCTCGTCAGTAAACACGAGGGCGTATCGTCAGCATTGGCGTCATCGCCCGTATCACTACGAGGGCGTGTCGATAGCTGATGCGTCGCCGTTCCCACGGGACAAGGCCACGCGGCCCGCCCCCACCCAGCAGTAATCTAGGTCTTGCCGTGCGGTTTGCATAACATCATGCTGTTGATTCAGCGTCACGGACCGCGTTACTGAAGTGATGCTGAGAATAGAGTGTGTTTGCAGCGCATCGTTTGTTGTGCAGGCATTTGGCCACTGACACCGGCGCCCAAGTGGTCCTAATGGTGTATAATTTGCACGGCGGGTTATTCCAATGATGTCGCGTGATCTATAGCGTGCTTATCGCGCCGTACCGCGGCGATCTCGTGGCGCGGGGGCATGGCAAAGGCTTGCGCTCCTCGTCAGCAGCATATTACACCATAGCTGGATGTTAGGTCTGCGAGGTGAATCATTACGCTCCTCCTGCTTCTGGTAAGCGCCTTGCGACAAGAATAGCGTGCGAATCCCCTCTTGCCATTGGTACAACAGGTAGTATACAGAGAATTGGATGGAGTGCGCCACGGGGATGGAATGAAACACTCGCTGGGGATATGGGAGCAGATCGGGACCCCTTGATGCGTGTATCACGCACAAGTGCTTGCTCGCCATGATGATGGCATACTTTATGACGTTTTCATCTTGACGGAGGCTATTGTTACTAGCGTTCGGCAAGAGGAATGTCATTCACATCGCTGGAAATTAATCAGAATCGATCGTGACCACAAACGGTCAGATCTCGTAATAAGACAAGTAGACCACTTCCAAGAACAAGTCGAATGGGCAACACAGAAGGCTGCATCGTTGCTACAGAGCCCAGCAAAAAGTCATGGGCATGGGGAATGCGTTTCGCTCTGTCTGTATACCTTTAAAGTAAGACGATATATTTGCATGCAACGTAAAATGCTACAAAAATGTTCAATGACATGGATTCTTTCGGTGACCGGCTCTTTCAAAGAAGTATGCTGAAATTATGGATGCGCTTCAAGCCATTCATGCTCGCAAACATAAACAAAGGTGGCACTTTTCGCGTGGACCCCTCCGACAATGGAAGTTGCAGTGCCTGTCCGGGTTTGTTTACATTTAGCGCCCCGCGGCTGGCTCGCGGCACACCAATCAATTGCGAAAGTGCTAAAGCGCCGGAGGGAGCCCCTGGTCGTGCTGACCTCATCATGAACGTCGATATTTGGTGCTGAACTTTGGAAACTGGGGAGGGATGGCGTAATACGATTGCTGACAACCAAAATTTCCGCCCTGGGGGGCTGGCAGAATATAAACGGCCACGCTGTGGGTCAGGAGACGTCAGAGTGCAGGAAGGACCATGTCGAATATTCCGGTACGATGATCTCCGGCACAAAATCCTGCCGTTTACGTAGAATGTCGCGAGCGAATGGCCGAGTCAGAGCTCAAACAAATACTGCTTAGATTAGGTTCTGATTTCAAATACCTATTCACTTGAAAGGCTTGGGGTAAATATAAAATAAAAATAGGTTCAAGGGACTGTTCACTGCTGCGCATTAAAACTCAAAGTACTGAATGATGTACGGAAGTTGGCCGCGCTCCATAAGCACGCAATTCACAGCTACTGAAGTGCACTTAAATTCACAGTTGTAACCGCGTAGAAGTGAACAATTCCCTGGCATGTACTCGCGAAGTAAGATTACGCATTACGCCTTCTCCTCTATCGTCAGCCTTTAGTTGCCTGCCATCGAATTCAACAACGGTTGAGCAGGCCGTCCCCTGAAAGCATCCCATGTATGTGTGTGTCATGTATGTGCATCCCATGGTATGTGTCACACATTGCTGTTGGAACAGCAGGGAAAAGCCGACTGACCGGACGGGATCACGCCAATGCAACATTCTGTCGGACTTTACCCATTTGCTTTGCTTCCCAAAAACTTCCGATGACCAAATTAATTAGATGGCCAAATTAATTATTGACTGAAGAACACATGCCCTCAGGAAGAAAGGTGCACCATCGACTTGGGTAGACATAATTACTGCGGAAAATTAGTTGCATTGTGAAGTTGAGTCCCGCAGACTGACCCTCGGCCCTCGGACTGACCTACAGACTAACAGACTGACCCTCGGCCGAGAGGTGCCTGGGTCACAGGCGCGCGTCGCCAGACGACGTGCAGTGCCAACCTACCCGGCGAGCAGCTGCCCCACAACAGACCTCGGTCCTAGGACTGGTGACCTCGACCGCGGAGCACGGGAGCACGGGAGCACTGACCTCCCACTGCGGGAACTGGTCCTAGGACTGGTGACCTCGACCGTGTGAGCACGGGGGGACGGGAGCACTGACCTCACACTGCGGGAACTGGGCGCGCGGCCGCGTCTTCTTCCAACCGAGCAGAGGCGGGATGCAGATGAGGGCGCTGAAGAGCCAGACGAAGGCGATCATGAGCGCGGCGCGCCGCGGCGTGCGGCTCTTCAGGTAGTCGACCGCCTGCGTGATGGACCAGTACCGGTCCAGGCTGATGAGGCAGATGTTGTTGATGGAGCTGGTGCAGACCAGCACGTCGATGGCAGCGTGCAGGCTGCACCAGAGCTCGCCGAAGATCCAGTAGCCCATCAGCTCCTTGGCCAGCGAAAACGGCATAATGACCAGGCCTACCAGAAAGTCCGCCACGGCCAGCGAGGCGATGAACCAGTTCTGGATACCCTTCAGCGCCTTCTCAGTGGCGATGGCGATGATGACCAGCATGTTGCCCACCACCACCACCACCATGATGAGCGTCACTGCAATCGCAGTCAGCACGATGCGCGGCGTCGAATAGCCGCTGGGATGAATAGCGTCTCCCCACGAGTACATCACGAACGTCACGTTGCTGGCGTTGCCGGCGTCGTCGGGCGCTGGCAGCGCGGCCGTGGTGGCTTCCGCTGTGCCGTTGAGCGCCATGGCGTCGCGCTCACCGCCGCGGCTCCGGGGCACCGGCGGCGCGTGGCCGGTCAGCGTTCTGCCCCAAGGCCCGGCACTGGAAGCTGCCGAGCGAGCTGGCTGCACGCACCCGCGGCTGGGCTGGGGTAGCGGGGTCCCGCGGCCGCGATAACGCTGATGTCACCCGCCGGCCGGCTCAGCGCGTCAGCCTGTTGCGTCGGTGCCGGCCACGCTCGCCGCGCGCCCTCGTCGCCCCGCCGTCGGCCGCCGTCTGCCGCGCTGTCGGCTCCGACGGCCGACGGCCGACGGCGCCGACGGAGCGCCGGTGCGCAGCAGGCCAGCCAGCCAGACGCACCGGCGACCCGTGGGCAGTCACGCCGCGCTGTCCGCCTCGCGGCCCGTGGTATATTATTCAGTGCCAGTGCATGGGCTTTGTGGCGTGGGCTAGGGAATCAACAATCATTGGCGTGGGAGTCGCGGTGTCTGTCTGACTTTGCCTTCATCATTAGTCGAGTTGACGGGCAAATAAGCCCACGGAAATTAAAACTGAAATTGATGTGAGGACAGGCTACTGGCATTGCCACACTTTGTTCGTCTATAGTAGACTAGAGGTAGACTGTAGTAGGTAGAGCAGACTGCTGCTGGACCGATGGAAGAGGGCCTTTTGGTCCGCGATAGCTCACGGAGGACCGTGAAGCCACCCGCACGGTTTTGTACTACCATGGTAATTGTGATGCGTTTAGAACGTACTAGGGGCTTCTAGATGCCCAAAGCAGAGGCACGTACCTTGAAGATGGATTCGGGGCTTCCGATATGATTTCAGAGTGTGTCGTCTTGACCTTTCTGTCCCAGTGTGATAAACGACCTCTAATAATTGCATTTATAGGGCTCATCGTGACGCTATTCGTGAAGCAAACGCCGGGCTGCCGTATTTCAGTTCAAACCATCCAGAATCAAGTTATTCACTAGAAGGCATGCTTACTCAGTGACTGGCAGGTAACGAACCTGTGCTTTATTAACTTCAGAATCAGCATCTACCCCAGAGTCCTCTTCATTGGGAATGGCAAAACTTGGCTGGAATTCAGTAACAAATATTCTATCGGATGCACGAGAGGACAGATTCTTCCCACGTGATACTGCAATGTCATGAATCTGAATCTGAGCAAAGGATAAACCTTACCTTTTCCAATAAAGCACTTATAATCATAAATGAAGTTGCAGGATTTACCCATGACATGCAGATGTAAGTTTGACAAATAGCAACAAGCTATGCTCCAGAGTAAAACACTTTTCCGGGCTCACGGAAAAAACAACGAGTCCGTCCCCGACCGTTGCCCAGCACGCAACACGCGTAATGTCAGTAATTTTACAGTATGCGGAGTGGTATGATTCGCTTACAGTGAGGATGTTTGTGTCACCCCGCCTCATCCACTACCGGAACGGAGTGCTGTTTTGCTCTGCAGTTTCAGCGTTATTGCTGTTGAGTCCCCTCAATTCGCCCAGTATTGAGTCAGTAGCAGGAAGCTGTGTCCGGGTCTCGCTCAACGGCCGAGGGACATTCTGGGCTTCGTTCACAGCAGTGAGTATATTCGAACAACACCTTGACGGAGCACTGCTAACTGCAGCCTGTCTGTCTGCAGCTTGATGACAGCTGCAGCGCACGACAAAAAGCGCAG